GTAAACTATGAGATATTTCAGATTTCAGTGTGTCTTCAAATATATTACCAAGCTTAAGTTTTTGCGTTAGAAACAGTCGATATTATTAAAACAAAAATACCTGAGCACACTTTTTTAATGCACCGTATACATTTTTCACAGTTGCAGTTTTGTTGCACCTGCTTGTCATTCATCAAAAAACACCGTTCCGGTTGCTGTAGCTTCTTCGTTTAATTCTTTTTGACTTTGTTACGATAAAAATAATTAGTCTACTTCAAAAACAAATAATAATAAAAACGCGCCAATAAAAATAATTCGGTTTACACGACGCTGCAGTGTTTTTGGCAGCCATTTCCAAAATAAAACACAGCTCTAACAGCAAACACTGACCAAAGAAAGGTAGAATTCACCTTTTCCACTAAAGATCACCTGTTTTCTATCATTTGTTACAACATCATATCATTATGGTGTTGCTTTTCCCTTTCTCCCTCCACTTTTTTTTTTGTTGAGAAAGAAGAGCAGATAGTTTTTAGACGTTTTCTGAACCCCCTATAGGCTGAGCATGCCGCTACATTGCTGTCCGGAAGCAAATTTTCCCACATTTACCGCCCTTCCTAGTACGGCTACAACGGAACGCGTTTGAATGCTCTCAGCTTTTCTGCACTATGCTGCACTGAGAAATATGTAATCTTCCTCGCTATGTATGCCTTCAAGGGTATAACCGTGCATCAGTCTCAATCTACACAATGAGAATATCAAAAGCAAGAACAGTTCAACATATATTGAATAGAAATTCTCTGTTTTCAATAGAGCGTGATTTCTGACGAGGAGTCCGAGAACTGGCTGCTTAACAAAGTTTCACTTCTAAACCAATAGAAAAAAAAAAAAACAAAAAAGCTGCCCCCTTAAAATGTAGAATCGCATGTGCGATGGAAGTCACCGACCCAGTCCCAAATCTGATGCCAACAACTCGACGCGGCTTTAGTGAGTGTCACATAAATTCATTATAATCACCATAACCAAGATCTTTTTGAGAAATACGCACTGCTGTTTCACTAAGTCCACTTATTAAAACATTTATCTCTAAACATATTTTTGCAACTGCATTGTGATTCCACCGCTTCCAAACAGTCTCTGCTACTCTGTCCTTCCCTATACCATCCTGTTCTTCTTGCATTTTCCAACGAGCGAGAAAGCTAGACGTAATCATTCGGTGCTAATCACAGTACTTCAACCACCTTCTGGGCACTTCAAACAAGTCGGGATGGTGAGTGCCGCAGAGATATTGTAAGTTTGTTCAGAAAAACCTGAATACAATCAAAATTTCTTTTAAACTGAGGGAATTCCGATGACAGCGATTTCGCAATAGCGAATTGGCTCCCAAAATTTGTGTATACAGTCGTCAGTAAATAAGGGGTGCAGAATTTAGGTTGTTTGATATTTAAACAGTCCAAATGT